ATATGTATATATATATATATATATATATATATATATATATATATATGTATATATGTATGTATATATGTATATGTATATATATTCAGATTGGGTAAATACTGTCAAATGATATGTACAAAGTAAGAGAAACAAAGTAAGGTAACCCAAAGGCAACATTGCAGATGCCCAGGATAGCTACAAATGCCTAAGTCAGCCACAACTTTATCAACAGGGAGTAAGGAAGGTTTTGAAGCGCCAGCTGAATGGCAAGAATAAAGTCCGAGCCATCAAATATGCAGTGAGAGTCATCAGATACTCAACTGGTATATTAGCCTGGCCAAAGGAGGAAATAGAAGCCACTGACATTAAGATTGCCATCAAGACTTGAAAGCTTCTCACAATGCATGGAGGGTTTTACCCCTAGTCCAGCATCCTTAGACTATACACCATGAGAAGGTAGTGTGGCAGAAGACTAGTGAGTTTCCGAGCCACTATACAGGATGAAACAACTAAAATGCTGAGTACATCAGGAGGAAAGCTCCCAATGATGAACTGATGAGTTAATGTCTCAGGCAGTAACAAAAACACGTCAAAGAAGAGGGGCCATCATGAAAAGATAAGCCCCTACACGGCATGTCCCACCGGCAGATGTATGTAAGATCCAGGCAGGTAAAGCATACATGGAGCGCTATAACCAAGCGGCTGGAATAATATACAGGAACATCTGTGCCGAGTATGGACTAAAGTCAAAGTGGGAGACACTACCAATTGATGGAGAATGGCAGGGCCAAGATACTGTGGGACTTCCAGATCCAGACCAACAAACAGATAATGGCCAACCAACTGGACCGTGTGGTGGTTGCCAAGAAAAAGAAGGCCGGGGTGATCGATGTAGCAATCCCAGGTGACTATAATATCAGGAAGAAGGTGCATGAGAAGCTGGAGAAATACCCAGGGCTAAAAGAAGAAATACAGAAGTTGTGGAGAGTCAACACGTCAGTAGTACCAGTGGTCATTGGAACACTTGGTGCTGTGACCCCCAAACTGGAAGAGTGACTCCAACAGATCCCAGGAACAACCTCAGATTTCAGTCCAGAAAAGCAAAGTCCCAGGAAAATCTAAGATACTGTGGAGAACCCTCAAACTCACAGGCCTCTGGTAAAGTACCCAAGTTTAAAGTTAAGTGGAATTGCCCAAGTTGGAGAATAGGGTGAGCTACAAGATTATATATGGCAGTGGTCACCTAAAAATTTGATGTTGCAGCCCAATTTGCAATATACATCTTTATTAGGCCTACAGTAGATGCACATATCAAAATGGAAGTTGGTACCTCACTTATTTTTCAAGTTATCCAGCTCCCATAACGGAAAGAGGATATTTACAAGTCCCCTCTTTGCTCCGCAACAGGGGACAACAAACCCCAACCCAGTTTTTGAAGAAAAATATTTGTGTATATCATAATGAATATATCATACTGTGTATATCATTGAATATCATAATAAATTAAACACAAAAAGAGCAGGGTATGTGTACTTACAAATAGGTTAGTACTAACCATTTCACTTCCAGAATGCAAGAATTGGGAATGAGCAGAAATGTCCCATACTGCAACCTGATACACCAAGAATACAAAATCAGTTATTAGAAATCAACATCTGGAAAAGTTAGTGATACTTAAATCCAATAAAATACCAGAAAGACAACAATAAACATTATGACTTTCAAATAAAATAAAAAGCAGACAGGCCTACAAATAGAGTTATGTGAAGGATGCAGAATATAAAAGATGTAAAATAGTAAAGCAAAGTTTAAAATTAGCACCTGGCCATTCACACAGCCACCAACAATAATGTTTGGATTGGACGGGCAGAACTCAAAGGCAACAACGTCGTCTGGGGACTCCAGGAGCAACTGTAAAAATCATAGAAAATTCTACATACTAAAGGTTGAATATTACACTTCAAAGTACGTCTATATATTACATGCTTACCAACACAGTGTTTATATTTGATGCAGTCTCTCAAAAATTCTAAATTCATCTTACAATTCACAAAGTCTGTCGCATACAAGAAAAGTATTCCATCATATATAAAGTACCAATAAGGTCAGGATGACTCTTCAGTAAAAATATAAAAAAGTGCTCCAGTTTTCCTACAAACAATACTAGTTTTAAATTATGTCAAAGAGTAATCAAAGCCACATAAAAGCTTTTCTTAAACGAATATTGGGGGGGAGGGGGGGGATGCAAATCTACTTTTAAACAGAAAGGTGCTCCCATCTCATAAGCTTTTTTGCTCATACCTGGGCTTTAGAGAAGTCAGCAAAGCTGTAGAAGACAATGAAAGAAGGTCTGGGGATAAATGTAGAGGGTTTGTCCGATTCCTCTTCATTTGGCTCTGTCAAAGCCACAGCTATCATACCTGCAACATCACAAGCCAACAAATTATGTTAAAATGTCCCTAAGATCTTTTTGGCTTTAAGTCTGATGACCACTTTACATATACTATAAAATATCAATCCCAAAGAAGGACTAATTTTAAATACTTTCAATGTGTGTCATGATTAGATTAGACTGATCAAAATTTGAATTTTGATTATTTTATTCTGAAAGACAAATTTGTTTACAGACTAGTAGGTTGTACTTTACCATGGATGATGGGGTGCCAGTGAACACTGCTGATTTTCTTGCCTTCAGAGTACGTATGGTCTTTAAAGGTCATTTGAAGTTCCAGATCCTCAGACTTTAGCCCAGACTTGTCATCAACTCTACGCCCTGTCCCAAAATCCTTCAATTCCTCAATGAACACATTGAAAATTGATTCCTCTTGCAGGGCTTGCAACATCCTACAAAGCAATAGACAATTTGATAAATCTTTCAGAAATACAATTATTATTATGCCTCCCACCTCCTTTACATCTCTTCATAGCTACAGTTAAATTGAGTGAATGTGGTAAAACTTACTTTTCTGTTTCCAAGAAACACAAAATAACAAAAACACATATACAGTAAGGGTGTCTTGGGTTATAAAACACAAGACTTTAGTTCTAAAATCAGAATTTTGGCAGGGAAAACATTCATGATGTTGATTTATATGCAAACCTTAGTGAAAATATGAATGTTCTATTGTCATCAACGTGTGGATTGGCACTTACTGGTTCTCATTAACAGAAATAAGCTATTTTACCTGGTTGTTACTGCTTTACAAAAATTCTTCATGCTCTCACTTTGAAGGATACTTTCTTTTTCCTCCTCACTAAACTCTCTTGGCTCATAGTGGGTCCAGTTATTCCTCTTAACAATCCTGTGGAATCGACACAAATGCACAAAACACTGTAGGAATGAAAAGAATGTTAACACAACAAGGAAGCAAATGGATTCATTTAGTGTCATTCAAGTATGAAATAAAAATCTTAACACTTCTGAAGTAAATGTATTTCTTGTGATTTGAAAAATATATAAGTCCTAAAGTACATAAGTTCCTTTTGACATCATAAATTACTGTACCATACCAGGGTGTCTGGGTACTGTTCTCCAGCACAACTGGAACAGCCTGTACTCCACGGTCTATCAGCATCACCTTGATGTTAAACCTCTTGTCTTCATAGGATTCAAATCCCACAAAGACAGTTTCACTGTCAGAAAAGTTGACTGGCAATTTAAGTGTCCTCCATTTTCTAAAGTAGCGTATCGTTATCTGATTAAGACAAGAAAACACAACTGACAAAATGATGCAACAGCAGCCCATGTATTAAAGAAAATTAAATTAATTAAATAGCATGTGTATTTAATATGGCTTCAATATACAGTACTTTAGTACCCTTGGTCTAGTCTCTTTGATAGATTCTGCTTCAATTTCATTTTCACTTCCAAGAGAAACCCATGGCTTTCGTTTTGGAGTTTTATTGACTTCAACCTCTAGCACTGCTGCTGTTTCAGTCTCAGGAGTTTCATTGACTTCATCGGTCTCAGGGGGCTGCAGAATGCAGACAAAATTACAAAAAGGCACAAACTTAAAATATAAATAAGATTCTGTATGAAAGCTGAAATCTTAGTAGGGCAAGAGTTTAGCATGACTTCTAAAACTGATATAAAAATCAAACAAATAAACAGGTAAATAATGAATAAATAATCTCATCCTTGGAGATTATTTACATTTTAAGTACATTTTAAATTACAAACCCTAACCCATTGCCTATATACAGTATCTGTGTGAAAACACTGATATAGAAACATTTAGTAAAACTTGAGAATGTTACATGAACACAATTTGTGATTTAATTAAAGTACTTTTAAAAAATTATATTTTTCTTTCAGCTGCTCTCTTCTTCAGGGGTCACCACAGTGAATTAACTCACACGAAGACTTAGCAATTGTTTTTACACTAGCTGCCCTTCCTGACACAACCACAGACCACTGAGCTATCACAGCCCTCTGTGTGGAGCAGAAAGTTGCTATCTAGGGCACCCGAGGGAGCAGATGGTGGGAGTTAAGGGCCTTGCTCAAGGGCCCAGAGTGGGGCAAATGAGGGTGGAGGCAGGTGTGGGTGTTTCATCTTTGCCAAAGTACTTTTTATACAAACTTAAAATCAAGTAGTGTGTACTTACATTGAGTATTCGGTTCTTGGCTTCTGGTGAAAGAACCAAGTAGAAGTTCTGATCGTAAGTAAACGTTGAGTCAAAAACTAACAAGATTTCTTCCTCTGGGTAATTCTGTAAGATAGAAGTATGCTGAATTAAAAACAAACTGCTAACTTTGGAATAAATGTGAAGTATATGAGCTGATTGTGGCAACCACAAAAACTCATTGCACAGTAGAAAAGTTTTGATGGAAATTGGCGATAAGATAATAAATTCAGATAAAAGATCTAATATTTTGGAATAAAATGCTGACAACCATGTAAGCATCATAACAGTGAAGAGGACGTTCCTCATGTTAAAGAAATAAACAACACTACTTTTAGTGTGCAAAGCTGATGAGTCTGTATGGGTCTCTGAGGAAACTTAATAACCACATTGATTCTGGGAAGGAGTGTGAATCGTAAGAGAGGTGGTTACCGGGTATTTAATCTAAATTATACCAAAGGAACAATTCTATTTAACTAGACGTTTTGTTTGCGATGACAGCCCTTGTCTTTAGATCTCCGTTTCATTGGACAGAAATACCTGGGTAATCAGTACAACAAAACATTAACCTTACCAGCAGAATCTGCTTCACGGGACTGAAATCAGACACTGCTGCTCTTGTCTTGATATCCTGTATGATGTCGTCTTTTTTCAGCAGCTTGTAAGGGCTCTGCTCTGTGACATCTTCATCAGCTCGGCAGTCAAAGAGCTTCTGGGTGGCTGATGTCAGGACCAAGGGGAAGATATCTTCAGGGTGATCTTGAAAATCAGTTACGAGAAGAAAAACAAAAGACAAAAGAGGCTGAGTTGGGCATGACCGCTTCTTTTTGTGGGTTCACAGTAACGACAATGGATGTTAAAACTAAAGGAAACTATTTTAATTTAGAATTCTTGAGACATGGCAAAATGCTGAATTTAACATTTATATTTTAGATTGGGACACTATTTGAAATAAACTCCCATTTAACATTATCAAGAATAAACAGAGAAAACATATGGGCTAACCAAGGATGATTTAAAAAAGAAACAGTGTACAAATAAAGCAATGAGTCTCCTAAACAAGGCAGGATCACAGGTTGACAAATATGGAGGATCATATATATGAGGCTGCAGTAGCTTGGAGGTCAGTGCCGTGGTCTTGTAATCCTGAGGTTGCGGGATCGAGCCGCGTCAGGAAGGGCATCCAGAGTAAAACAACTGCCAAATCTTTCAGGAGAGTTCACTTGCTGTGACAACCCCTGAAGAAGTGAGCAGCTGAAAGAAACTTACTATATATATGATGTGAAAATAAAGTAGACCCACAGAAATTAAGGATTAAGAATAGAATTTCCTCCATTTTTCTGATCAAATGCACAACACGCCTGATCCATCATATGCCACTTCCTGCAGGACTGACTGTCCTACAATATCACATGGGGAAATTCAGTAGTTTATTTGTATACTCCATGTCCTTCAAATCGTAGCATAGGCAGAGACCAGGAACACACAATAGTGTAAACATGGCTCTGCATAATAATAGTTTTCCTCCTGCTTGCGGTTTTCTCTCTTCAAAGTCTTTCCACAAGGTTGCTGAGAGGACGCCGGGAATGCTAAAGCAAAGCTTAAGTAACCACTTCCCAGCTGGGTGTGTCAACCTTTTCCACTCACACCACTTAGGCCTCCTTCCAAATCATTGTAGTGGAACCTCACACCCTTCATTTCACACAGTTATGTGTCAGCTTTGGAATTTGTATTCATGGGAAACGCTTGTTTAAGAGACATAGAGTGCATGATGTGTAATGTCCCACATCCCCTGAAGAATGCAATAGTTGCTTTTGTTGGGTTGTCTTAAGTAATTTTGAATTTATCAAGCCTTTTTAAAATCTCTTCTTTAATCTCCCTAAGGTTATATAATGTACTCCAAAATACTTCTACAGACTCTACGTACATCATTACTCTGACAAAACTGGCTGTTTGCATTGATAATGACTTTAAGAATACATCTAGGTTCAAGGTTCAAGGAGACTTTGTCATCCGCTTCATATGGGGTACATGAGGTGGAACGAAATTGTGTACTCAAGGTCCCAGTTACACCCAAAAATAGCAATATAAAGTATAAAAAATGAGAGTGAATGGTTGTTTGTCTCGTTTGTCTCTATGTGTCCCTGTGATGGATTTGCAACCTGTCCAGAGTATACCCCGCCTCTCGCACAGTGATAGCTGGATATGGGCACCAGTGACCCCCATGACCCAAAAAAGAAAAAGCGGGTAAAGATAATGGATGGATGGATAAAGTGTCAAATGTCCAATTAAAGTGTCATTACAGTTATTTGTCTGGTATGACTTATCATTTTATCCCTCAGTTAATTTCCTGCACTGCATGAAAAATAATCTGTAAAACTGTCAAATAAAAAAGTAATTAAGTCCAAAGCAGTGGTTATTTTTACTGTTGGTTTCTTCTATTTATGTTCAGGGCTACAAAATCTGTGTTAACAAGCAGTAAACACTAAATAGTTTGTCACGTTCTTTGGAGAAAATTGTATGCCTGCAGAAAATCCATGAAGGATAAAAAAAGAGAAGACAAGCTCTACACACAAATGCACTAATTAACCAGGAATAATGAAAGTAAAGAAAAGTTTAACAAATTAAAACTATTAGCATTCTCTTACCAGTCTTTCCATGTGGGGCAGAAGATTGACTGTTCCTGTCTGAGAGAAAAGTAAGAGTCAGCTCACTACTAAATCTTGCAGAGACAAAAATGCATGAAATTAACACGTTAGGTCTTTTCACCTTCATTTTTCCCTTTTCGACTTCTTGAACGCTTTCCTTTTTTCAGTGCCATCCTTGTCCTTTAGATTTACAGAATTTCTACAGTCAAAACAATCACAGTTATGACAAAAAAATCAGAAAACTAGACTTTTCTTTATCTACATTAATAGCTATACAGTATTTTAGTGGCCACCTGCAATACAGATCATGTTGAAATGCTTTAAATCAGTAGTTCTCAAAATGGGGTCCCCTGACGGACCCCTAGAGGTCTGCAAGCTGGGTCCGGGGACCCCATTTTGAGAACTGTTGATTTAAAGCATTTCAACATGATCTGTATTGCTTTGTTTTTACAAGCACGTTTAACAACCCGTTAAACTACATTAAAATGCAGGAAATCACATCTACTTTATTCAAAATTTTCTGGAGGAGGACCCCTAGACCCCCCACATTGCCACCCCAATAGCGTGCCCGCTATTTGTGTTCCGGCATGAATCGGTTTACAAATTAAGCTCCGTTACTACACTGCTGTTATGATTCTGTTCAGTTGAATGTAAAAGTATTCTGCAAGTGGCAATACATTTATGTTCATTAAGTGAGTAGGTAAAGTTTTAAAGGGGTTTCTGATACTGTGAATTTTCTCAAAACTGCCTTTTTTGGAAGTTTAAATTTTAAATTTTGTTAATTAAGTGTGTCTTCAATGAAAAATACCCCAATTTTAAAAGTACAAAAATTGTATTAACACTAATAAAGAACAGGTCTTAAATACTTAAGATAATGTTACACAAATATTTCCATTGCTTTAAAGAGATAAATTGAAGAAAATTGTTGAATAAATATGAGGGTTATGAGGAGGTCCCTGAAACATTTTCTCCTCTGTAAGGGGAGACATGGAAGATTTTCATGAGACTGACAATGCAGACATGTTCCTGTTTGTAGTATTTTACACTGCTTTATAATGTAGCTGTTTTTTGTTTCTTTTTATATATATATATAATTTCTTCTATTTACTTTTTATTGTATATGCTTTTACATGATTGTATTGCTGTCTGTACCTCATATTTGTTCTTTGTTTAAAACAAGTCTCTCTTGTAAAGGAGACCTCGAGGCTCACTGAGACTAACCTTTATAAATAAAGGGTGACTGAAAATTAAGAGGGTCCCTGAACTCAAAAAGTTTAAAAATCCCTGCTTTAAATGCATCATCAATGCATATAGCGACATTTAGTGGAAACTATAAGAACTGCAGCTTAAGTTTTAATCTGCAGAGGCAATGAAGTGAGTAAATTAAATAAATACAATAAATTTGCTGACGTAGGAGAAAGTGTGCTGCTTGTTCTTACAGCTGGTTTCGCCTTGGGGTTTTGGGGAGGGTTTTTAGGTCCCGCTGTCAATAACAGTAATTTGTTTTTTATTTATTTTCTCGGATGAACCAGAGTAAACTGTTTGGTATTTTGTATACTGTTTAATATTTGACAGTATTATTCTCTAACTTTGCGAATTATGTGAATATGACAAATAATTTTGGTTTTGTTACTTGGAATGTTAAAGGTCTGACCCATCCTGTGAAAAGGAAGAAAGCACATCTTAAAGTGTTAAGTGAACAAAACTACAGAGAGACAGGAGTCTGTCAGAGGGGGCAGGGGAGTGATTTGCGCATGCGCACAAAGAACTGCCGTTGGGGCTAGCCCGAGCAAAATCTGCTATTAAAAAAAAAATACTATTTCTCTCAATAGGCGCAAAAAATAAAAATCTAAGTTCTACAATGAGTTGTATGACTGTTGTTAGACTGTTCTAATGGTATTGGAAAACAATTGTGCAGTTCATCAAGTAGGCATAAAAACATTTAAAATTCCATTCATCAGTTAGCTTCATTAGCCTTGCTAATTCGTAAGGGTAACCCCACATTTTACATAGAAAACTGCGCCTCAAATTAGGTTAAACATTAACTAGCTTAATTTAAATGATTTTACGTTGATAAACTACTGATTACAAAGCAAAATTAAACAAACATATTCAGTTTACCGTTTGTTCAAGTTTTCTCTCTTGAATCGCTCAAAAGTACCTCTCGTGAACTGAACTGTTAGGTTGCTATTAGTTACAAGTGAGGAGGGGCAAGCAAACCCACTATTGGACTGACCGATGGATAAACCAATCAGATTTTAGGTCTTTAGTGACGTAACGTAAGAGGCGGGAATACTTGCAAGAAAGTTGATACTCATGTAGAAGTTCAGTCGATTCCAGTCAGTGCAGTCATGAGTCTCGCAATAAAATAAGAATCTTGTAATATTTTGTATCGAAACGAAGAGTTTTTGATTCGGAGTTCATATTGTAAACGGCGGTGGATGCTGTGGAAGTTGACTACCTTGTATCTGCGCGACATTGGTAATGTTTTGATAATGAATAATTGACCATTTCTCCAGGAAGTTGTTCTCTGATCTGCTGTGCATTATTAATAACCTTCACTATCTTTGTCTTTGGATCAAAACTTAATCGTATGCAAAGCCTATGAAAGTATTTCTTTTTTTCTGTCTTGTGCGACTGTCTTTAATCTACTTCCTTATTCTTTGAACAAAGTAAACCATCCAACTAAACCAGAAAAACAGTCAGTCCAAAAAACAATAGTTATACTTTGGTTAGATTTTTTTCTTTTTACTTTCAGTTATTACCATGCTATAATCTTTTCTGTCACAGGTTATGAACTAAAATTCTCCGCAGTATATAACTAAATAACATATTTTGCATTATTTTCAGATATGGAGGAGTCCAGTGATGTGTATGATGGTTATAACATAAACGACCCCAATCCCTGTGAAGACCATCAGAACCTGGAGGATCTGGTCCAAGTGAACTGCCTCAGAAGGAGGATCAAATACTACTTCATGAACCCCTGTGAGAAGTACCACGCAAGAGGGCGTAAACCATGGAAACTCATACTACAGATTGTTAAAATTGCTATTATTACTATACAGGTGTGTAGACTGACAATCTGAAATTCATCCAGAATAAATGTGCTCACGTCCTGTCTGTTCAGCATTCTGCTTCTCTTTCTTTGCCATTGCAGTTGGTGTCTTTTGGACTGAGCAATCAGCTGGTTGTTACTTTTAAGGAGGAAAATCTGATGACTTTACAGCACCTCTTTTTGAAAGATTATGCTGACGGAGGCATGGATACGTATGCTATATACAGACAGGCAGATGTTTATGATCACATTGAGTACATTATTGCTCAGGTAAGACAATTGTATAGAAAAAACAGCAAGACAGTGACTTTCTGTACAATACTGATTTTTTTTTTTCATGTAGCATTACATATCTCCATTTGATTTTGTGCTACTGTAAATTATTGTTGGATTTTTACAACTCTGCTAACTTACATGACATAAAAACAAAAAGACGTGATTGTTAACATACTAATCTTGCCCTTGACAAGGATGGTGTAAATATGTTATAAAATAGTAAATCTAATCTGCTGAGTTTCTGCTGTACATCCGGATATCGTCAAAATGTTTGTGGGGTTATAACACGTTTGACCTTTTCTACAGTATGGACAACTGCACAACAACACAGTGGGAAATCTTGAATATGACAGAAATGGCAGCTCTTACACACCTCTGACACTGTGTCAGACGTTCTACAGGAACGGTAGCATCAATCCTGGAACTGAGACCTTTGAGATTGATGCTCAAGTGGAAACTGGTAAGCATGATTGTTGCTGCTCTTCATAATTTAAATTGTACCACTTTACAATAAGGCCCCCCTTATAGATGGCTAATAAATAGTTTATATATGTTATTAACTCCCTTATAAACACTTTATAAATCAGTAATAATTATTCATTAATTAAGGGTGACAGAGACAAAACTGACCAGTTTCTTGCCAAATAGTGATCCAAATCTGTTCACATATACAGTAAGGAGAGTAAGTATTTGAACACCCTGCGACTTTGCAAGTTCTCCCACTTAGAAATCATGGAGGGTCTGAAATTTTCATCTTAGGTGCATGTCCACTGTGAGAGACATAATCTAAAAAAATAAAAATAAAGAAGAAGTAAGAAAGGTGAGGAATCAGCCCAGAACCACACGGGAGGAGCTGGTCAATGACCTGAAGAGAGCTGGCACCACTGTTTCCAAGGTTACTGTGGGTAATACACTAAGACGTCGTAGTTTAAAATCATGCATGGCATGGAAGGTTCCCCTGCTTAAATCAGCACACGCCCAGGCCCGTCTTAAGTTTGCCCATGACCATTTGGATGATCCAGAGGAGTCATGGGAGAAAGTTCTGTGGTCAGATGAGACCAAAATAGAACTTTTTGGTCTAAATTCCACTCACTGTGTTTGGAGGACGAAGAATGATGAGGATCATCCCAAAAACACAATCCCTGCTGTGAAGCATGGGGGTGGAAGCATCATGCTTTGGTGGTGTTTTTCTGCACATGGGACAGGACGACTGCACTGTATTAAGGAGAGGATGACCGAGGTCATGTATTGCAAGATTTTGGGGAACAACCTCCTTCCCTCAGTTGCAGCACTGAAGATGGGTCGTGGCTGGTTCTTCCAACATGACAATGACCCGAAGCACACAGCCAGGAGAACCAAGGAGTGGCTCCGTAAGAAGCACATCAAGGTTCTGGAGTGGCCTAGCCAGTCTCCAGACCTAACCCTATAGAAAATCTTTGGAGGGAGCTCAAACTCTGTGTTTCTCAGCAACAGCCCAGAAACCTGGCTGATCTAGAGAAGATCTGTGTGGAGGAATGGGACAAAATCTCTGCTGCAGTGTGTGCACACCTGGAGAAAAAACTACAGCAAACCTTTGACCTCTGTAATTGCAAACAAAGGCTACTGTACCAAATATTAACACTGATTTTCACGGGTGTTCAAATACTTATTTACAGCAGTAACACGTAAAAATCATACATTGTGATTTTTTTTAGATTATGTCTCTCACAGTGGACATGCACCTAAGATGACAATTTCAGACCCCTCCATGATTTCTAAGTGTGAGAACTTGCAAAGTCGCAGGGTGTCCAAACACTTATTTTCCTCACTGTATATTTCATCTAGAGTTGCTCTATTAAACATTTCAGACTAAGTTACTACCTTGTAAGCACAATAAGCAATTGTAAATTTATTTAGTATATAATATTGTATATGCTAAATAAACTTTATCACTGCATTATAAGTATCTACAACTAATATATCCTAAAAAAAAAATAGATTTACAAATGCTTATTGTGCTTACAAGGTAGACTTAGTGTGAAATGTTTAATATAACAACTCTATTTGAAATATATAGATGAACAGATTTGGCTCAGTATTTGGCAAGAAGCTGGTTAGTTTTGTCTCTATCATCCTTAATGCATAATTATTAATGATTTATGAAGTGTTTATAGAGGAGTTAATAACATATATCAATTATTTATTAGCCATCTATAAAGGGGAGCTTTATTGTAAAGTGGTATCATTTTAAATTAAACTTGAATATACTTTTTTCCCTCAAAAACTGACAAAACTATGAAATTACATCACAATGCACTGAATAACACTGTTGCATTATACCGAATGGCCGCCATCTTGAATGGATTGGCTCTAAAGTTGTTGAGGTACATCCTGTGCTAAATTTTTAAAAGTTTAATTAAAATCTATACAGTACTGGTAGTTTATGAAATATTTAGCTAACAAAACGGACACTGCTGACTCCAAACATCTAAAGGCAAAACTTTAATCGAAGCATCTTTTAGTGCTCTGAAAATGTGTCAGGCTAATTTTAGCACTTTTTTTCTTTTCTTCCAAAGATTAAGTATATAAAAAAATTCTTATAAATAAAACATGTTTAAACAAAACATGACCAGAGTTAAAAAAAAAAAGGGAAGTCGAAAACCTTGTGATGTGCAAGGAATGGAAATGACAACCACTGGAAAATTTAAGTTTGGTCTAAGTTTACCGTTTTGGCCAACACGTACGAGTTCTTTAAGGAAGCAGATGTATCAAGTGCTGCATTATGATACTCAGTCTTCATAATCACCACAGATGCTTCAGGTGAAATAGTTTGAAATGAGTATTAGCACAGCTCAATAGATAAGTAAATCTATGGAAGGCCCCTGCATAATTATGTGTTTTTTTTTAAAGATTTTTATTCATGTTTGTATTTTATTTATTGATTTTTCTTCCTTTCTTGTCTGTTTTTAACAGAATGCCTTGAAGTTTATCCAATTCATTCCTCATCACCACGTGACCCACTGCACAACTTAGAACTGTATTTCAAAAGGTTTGTGAGAAACCTTTGTACGTCTGACTGACAGCAGCGTTATCATTCCCCCCGCTGCGGTTGCATTTGGTTCATGTAAAGTTTTCCTCCCTGTTCTGTCTTCCAGGATGCTCTCCGTGGTGATCACGTTCGTTCTCAAAGGCATCAATTTGCAAACCGTGCAATATCGAGAGCTCCCGGACTGCTACGACTTCACTGTTCTTGTACGTCACTGAACCAGTTTGTTAAACATAAGTTATTAGACTGACGAAAGAATCAAAACGAAACACTTGTGCGTGTTAACATAACCCAAAAAAGAGATTAATAACAGTGTGGAAAACTGAAATGAATGCTGCATTTATTGTTTTTTTTAACACAAACAGGTAAAGTATAACGAAAATGTTATATCTGACGGAGAAATATATTCTCTCTTAACTTTACTTACAGTAAATAAAAGATCCACACTCAATGGCAGGAGAAGATTTTTAACCAGCATTTTTACTTGCAAGAACTCATTCAAGACAGATTACATACATAGATACATAATGCATGGAATGAGCCTGGAATAGAGTTTGCTGCGGACTTTTGTACAGCAGCAGGGTCCAGCAGGTGTTCCCTTAAAGCCAGCTGCAGTCAGACACAGACATGATCCGTGGTTGTCGGCGAGTTGGCGTCCAGATAAAGTCAACGCCAATCAGACACTGCGAGCTGGCCTTCAGGTGGAGACGAGAATGTTTTGTTCACACATTACAGAAAGATGTTCTCTGCCATAATATAATAAAAATATTCATATAAAAAAATCTCTAACACTATCCCAGTTTCTAATGTTTGTGTAGTATAACAATGACTTCTCCTGGCAGGGGTTTGTTTTAAAGTTGCAGAGATAAAATAAGAATTGTGTGAACGCTTATGAAGCATTCGCTCTATTGTGATCCATTTTTCTTCCGTACGATTTTCAGCATCTTTCTTGTTCCACAATTTGTGCTCTTTCAACAAACCATAAATGAAAACGTTCAGCTCTTTCAGGACAATCCTGCTATGACTTTTGGTATTGGTGCAACTTTAGCTTTTTGAAATATTTAGCCTTTTCTGACACTTTTTTTTTTTCTCATAGAAAATGAATTGAGGTTGTTTGTTGCTCTTCTTCCAACTTCTTTCTGCTAATTTCAGCTTGTTGTGCTCCTTTCAGCTTATTTCTGCAAGTGTCAGCTTTTCTGCTATTTCAGCTCCTATTTAGCTTTTTTATGATAATTTTAGCTATTTCAGCTAATTCCACTTTTATTTTATTTTTTTTTGCACTCATTTCAACTTTTTCTCCCTAATTCAGCAAGAATGTGCTCTTTCTACTTCCTTCTGGTAATTTAAGCTTCTTTCTGCCTTTTTAGCTACCGGTATTTTTCAGAAGTTTTTATTTGTGCAAATTTATGCTTTTTTTCCAGATAATGTTCACTTTTTTGTGCTCATTTCATTTTTTCAGCCTAATTGGGCGAACATGTTCTTTCTGCTTTCTTCTGCTAATTTAAGCTTGTTCTACCTTTACAGCTACTTTTTAGAATTGTCTAGGTAGTTAGATTGTTCTCAGCTGAATCAAAGTTTTTTTTTAGTAATTTCTGCTACTTTCAGCTGAATTAACTTCTTTCTGATAATTTCAGCTTGTCATACTACTTTGTTTAATTATGCTAGTTTCAGCTTTTTCTGCCATTTCAGCTACTATTTAGCTTTATTATGTTAAATTTAGCTTTTTCAACTAATTTCACACTTTTGAGCTCATTTCAGCTCCTTCTGCTTCCTTCTGGTAGTTTAAGTTCCTTTCTGCCTTTCAGCTACATTTCAGCCATTTTTTGGTAATTTAAGCTTTTTTTTTAGCTAATTTCCTAATTCTGTGCTAATTTCTGTTTATTTAAACCTCTTTCATCAAATGTGTGTTCTTTCTGCTTTCCTCTGCTAATTTAGGCTTATTCTTCCATTTCAGCTACATTTTAGTATGCTTTTTTAAGCTAATTTCAGCTGTTTTTCAGCAAGTTCTTCTGTAACAAGCATTCATACTGCATTTTTTCAGGAAATGTAGTTTTTCTAGTTATTTTTGTTTGTTTGAAATATGTCTGTCTGGTCAACAGATTACCTTCAACAACCATGCTCACAGCGGCAGGATAAAGGTCGACCTGGATACTGACGTGGACATTAATGAATGCAATGAGTGGAAAATACACGGAGCCTGTAAGTTCACCGAGATGATTTAAATGCATGCAGAGGCTCACATGCATGACCGTCAAGCTCTGTTCAGGTTTTGTTGTTCTAAAACAATTTCTTTATTCCCTCAGCTGCTAGAAACCTGTACCTGACGGTGCTGTTCGACTGCATCATCGTAATAATCTGTATCACCTCGTTTGTACTCTGCACACGCTCGGTGGTAAAAGGGATTCTGTTGATGCTTGTAAGTAAAATAAAATAAGTTGGATGTATTTTAGTCATCCATCCTACCTGATGGTTTATTAGTGCAGAAGCTATCAAATATGTCAAGTTAATTTGATTGATGTGCATTTGTGTTATGTAAAACTAAATAACTAGAAGCATGTCATTTTCTGCACAACAACACTGTGAATGCTGAATACATTTGCTGAAGAGACTTAAACTGAATTGTTTAAACTAGAAGAATCAAAACATTTCCCGAAACCTAGCTAAAAGCTAAATGATCAAAATATTAGCTAAAAGTAGCAAAACATTAAATAAAAGCTAAAAGTTGCAGAATGGCAGCATAAAACTTGTTCTTCTTCTTCTTTCGGCGTTTCCCTCTTCAGGGGTCGCCACAGTGAGTCATCCTCCTCCATCTCACTCTGTCCTCACTCCAACTACCTCCATGTCCTCTCTAACCGCATACATAGTTCTCCTCTGTCTTTTTCCTGGCAGCTGCATTTCTAACATCCTTCTACCAGTATACCCACTGCCCTCCTCTGGACATGTCCAAACCATCTCAGTCTGGTCTCTCTAACTTTATCTCCCAGTTGTTCAACCTGTGCTGTACCTCTGATGATCTCATTCCTAATCTTATCCATCCTTGTCACTCCTAATAACCTCAATCTTCATTTTGGCCACTTTCAGTTCTTTCTCCTGTCTTTTTGTCAATGTCTCTGTCTCCAGGACATACAAGAAGCCAAAGTGGAAGTATGCTGAAGCAGAGTTCAAAAGCAATTGACACCTCAGTGTATTTCTATGGGGAAATATTTATAAATTACTGTAAATAAAAATTTTGTGCAAAGTATAAAAAGTTATAAAGTCATAGCACCTTTGGCCTGAATGAGCTGAGCACATTATTTACTGTATAAACGGCTAAATTATCATAAAGTATGCAGAAGTAGACTGTAAACAACAAACAGGAAAAATATTGTGTTAATGTTAACTCAGCATTTATAAAATATTGTTTAACTTTTCATTTACATAAAGTCAGTTTTACATAATTTTAATGAAACATGTGCTGTTGGGTACATATGAGAGCCTTCTTACGTCATGATTTTTTTTGTTGTTGCTATAAATGCGTACTACCCGTTTATATTTTATTTATTTTATGTAAACCTTTATTTTACCAGGAATGAAATCCATTGAGATTATTAATCTCTTTTACAAGGATGTCCTGGGTAAGGTGCAAACAAGCCATTACAAATACAACATCAGTCTCAACAGTTACAGCAATATTAAAACATTTACAACAAAACATCTGGTAATAAGACATGAAATACGATGCAAGTTTAAAAAAAAATCACAATTTAAGACACTTAAACATTACAGGTGCAAGATGTGACTGCAGCCTCTTGACAGTTTGCATGTCTGTATACTCATCTCTCACGTCTTAAAGGTAAACAGGACCAGGCATGATTTACTGGATGAAACCTAACAAGCTGCTAATTGCTGGGAGTGACCGCTTATTTCTTAATCCGAACTAATCTCTCGTTTGTTTTGATTTGTGTGGATTTCTCACGCTGTCGTCTGTCTTTAGAAAATTTATAATTTTATACTCAGTAAAATTTAGCTGCTGATTTTCTTTTATGGTAAAAGCTGTTTTATTATGTTCTAAACTACACCTGGACCTGCCATTCTGTGTCTGTTTCTCCTTCCTGTTCCTCTCAAACCCAACCCGGTCGATGGCCGCTCGTCCTGAGCGTGGTTCTGCTGGAGGTTTCTTCACGTTTAAGAGCGAGATTTCCTTTCCACTGTTCCCAGTGTGCTTGCTCAGGATGGGAGACTGTGGCAAAGTGAAGATTCAGCACAATCTGCTGCCTTCTTTAGACAGATAACTTTTACTAATTGGCTTTTTAAATGTGAATGTTTCTATCCAGTGCCCTGAGACAACTTCTGTTGTGACTTGACGCTATATAAATAAACTGAACTGATTTGAAACAGGAGTATGTCCATCACTGCAACAACCACTGTGGTAAAGACGTACCGTGGTCGGACAAGTTGGAGTTTGTGAACGGTTGGTACATCCTGATCATCATCAGCGACATTCTGACCATCACAGGCTCCTTTCTCAAGATTGAAATTCAGACTAAGGTAATGAGAATTAGCTGTGACTAGCTTTTATTTCAGGCCAAATGTACAATTTATCAGGATGTTTAAATCTTTTTGTAGGTCCTAACAAGCTACGACGTGTGCAGCATCTTCCTCGGCACAGGCACCATGTTTGTTTGGATCGGCGTCATTCGCTACATGGGCTACTTCAGGAAGTATAATGTAAGGCCAAAGTTCACTTATTAAAGAGAAGAAATTGAATATTGTGAATATTGTATAAGTTCAGTGGATCAAACATTATTCTCATTTTTGTGATCAAAAATAAAATATGATAAAAATGCCTCACAAAAAACACCAACAATTGGTTTTAAATGATAAAATACTTAACTGTCATTAGGATTATTTTACAGAACCAATAATAAAATTTGCATTCAGTTACAAAAGATAATCCAAATGTTCTTGAAAGCAATGCAGGTATAATCCAAGCGGTGGTCTTAAATGTATAAACTTTTTTTTTTTTTTCCAGATTCTCATTGTGACTTTAAGGACAGCTTTTCCAAACGTTATTCGCTTCATCTGCTGCGCTGGAATCATTTACCTGAGTTACCTTCTATGTGGCTGGATTGTAATTGGCCCGTATCACGAAAAGGTAATATTAACTTTTTTTTTTTTTTTTTTAAATCAGAGTATTGTAGTCCGATTATTTGTGATCTTGTTTCAGTTTCGGAGCTTAAACACCGGCTCAGAGTGTCTGTTCTCGCTGATCAACGGAGACGACATGTTCCCCACCTTTAAGAACATGAAGCAGAAGAGCAGCCTGGTGTGGATTTTCAGCAGAGTGTACATCTATACCTTTGTGTCGCTCTTCATTTACATGATCCTCAGCCTTTTCATCACCATCATCACAGACACATACTACACACTCAAGGTAAAGATACAAGTTTACTGTTTATTGCTCACAATCCCATGTTAAAGATGTGAAACTTCAAATACTGTTGGAAATTTACTCAAATGCTTGTTTTCTCTTAGCAACAGCAGCAAAGTGGAGGCCCAACTTCAGAGCTGCAAATGTTCCTGTCAGTGTGTACAGATCTGCCAACATCTGGAGTTTACAGACTTGATAAGACAAACGGCTGCCTCATCAGCTGCTGCATGAACAGGTACGGTCAGAGCTTTATGCCGTGATAACTAACGACACCTTGCATTTATCTTCCTTTCCCAGACACCAATAAATTTTCGTACTTTAAAAGCTTTATTTTTCCCATTCCAGATGCAGGAGGCGTCATGAGAGGCTGACTTCAGAAGCATAGCAGTTTTTTCTTTTTTTTTTTTTTTACAGGAACACATGGCTGTAGTGTAAAAGTTGTAAATATTGTGCACTTTATACTTTTACATTCAGTGAAACGGAGTTGAGCACTTTAAAAATATATATATTTTTTGAAGTTTGATCATGTAAAGGAGTATTTCTTGTACTAAAATAACTCATTTGGACCTGAGGTCTGGTGTCAGTGTGATGCTTTGCACTGGAAAGCATCTTATAAATGCACTTTAATATTGAAGATACAAAAAAAAAAAAAGCTATGAACTTTACATGACATTGACACAAGAAAAACTATGTTGCACATGTGAATCATGAATAAATAAATATGCTGAAATGTAAATGAGTTCTTATTTTTTCCACTGTCAGAAGGTAAGAGTATAAAAAGGTAAATTTATTATTCACCCCGCACTTTAATCTTCTGTAGAAGCTCGTTACAATGCTGAAAAATCCCATTTCAGTTTATAGTAATAAAACCACCCATAAAACCTTTAACACAGTAAAAGGGACAGTCTTTAAATCTCTGGAAGTAATATCCAGAGGCTGATCCTGTAAACAAATCCACCACTCAGCTGAAGATTTGGCCTCTTGTTCCAGTAGAGAGCAGCCGTCTGAGTGCTCGTTACAGCTGAACAGATCTGAGGTCAGCTTTAACAGAAATGACCTACTTTTTTTAACTTCAAGACAACGTGCATTATTCCAGTTTGTTCTGCTGTGAAACCTCATCTTGTCCATAAGCAACGGACAGAAATCTTTTACCAACAATGTTGGAATACAGATTTAGTTTGACATGCAGTGCACCACTTGTGGAAGTGACTTGATGCAAGCCTCCAGACAAAAGAGAAATAAACTAGAAGAGTTTCATGGTCAAAGCAGTGTTATTAAAAAAACAAGTTCAACAATGTTGAATAAAATTAATTCTGATCACAGTTTGTTCTTTTATCATTATCTGGAATCCTGATCCCTTTAATAAATTCATGTAGTCCACATCACTTTGAAGGAATGTCATCCAAAAAAGCAGGCATCAATCATATTATGGGTTACAAAAGTGAAAACAGTCATAAAAAAACTTTGGCTACTTCATTTGATTATCTTGGGTTTGGCATTTCTCATCATGACGTCAGTCTGGTTTGGTTTGATTGACACCAGATGGGGGCGGGACCCGCTGCTCTTCCATCCTGTTGGACTGAGAACGCAGGATGAGACTAAAAAAGTCCTCGTTTGGAACCGTCGGACCTTTAGCTGTTGGACGAGGTGCAGCACACCTTTGGTCGTTCAGTCTGGAGCCCTGCAACGATCGCAGGCACAACACAACAAAGGTTAAAATTAATCAAGCTGAACAATAACTTCTTTGTACTGAAAATATCCTCCCAATTTGTTCATTTGAATTAACATTTTTATAGTTATAACAAATTAATTGTTAGAGAAGATTACATTATGGGTATATTACATCAAGTTCTAGTACTTTTTTAAACAATATATGTTACTAAGTCATTGATTGCAGTATTTTTGGACTGATCCTTGGTACTGGGTTTCTTTCTCACCTGGCACTTCACCAACATGTCGAAAAAGACATCATCTGCTTCAGGCTGATCAGCATTGTCCACGAGATGATTGTAGAGGGAGGGTGTGTGACTTGTGTTTGCAGCAGGAATTGTTGCTGTGAGGAAAAACAAACGTCAACATGTCCGCCGGGACTCGAGAGAGTTTGATCAAAAAGGGCTGGGCCTTATACGCCATTACCTGGTGCCGGGACTGGCTCTGTGCTGGAGGTGGAGGGTATATGCGGCGGGCTGCAGGTGCTGAGACGTAAGCCAGGAAAATGGCTGAGGCTGGCTCGTTGGTCGTCTAGACGACGGGCCTGGGAGCTGCCCAGCAGCTCCAGGAAATGTCCAGGATCCTGTGATGACGTTTCTTCCTTTGAAGTGGCTGAAGACAGATAATTACTGCAGTTAACCACTTTAAATCAGCTGTAAAATCTTTTGTAATTGTTGAAAGGACATACAAGAAATGTAGGTTCACTAACGCATTCATTTTTTTAAATTATTGTACTCTTAATCCCCAGTGGGGAAATTAATTAACTGCATTTTTCCCCATTGCACATGTGAGCACACGTGAGATAGTGGGCTGCCATCTAGGGCACCCTGGGGGTGGATGGGGGGGGGGGGGGGGGCAAATGAGAGTGGAGGCAGGTGTGGGCGTTTCACCTTTTCCACCCACATTTTGATGTCGTCGGTCCGAGGAGTTGAACCGGCGACCCTCAGATCACAGGCCCACCCTCTCTAGCCTCTGTGCCACCACCCCCCATTTTAAAGTAATTCTTGTAATTTTAAAGCAGCATTTTACTCCAAAACATTAAGCGTCTGTGAGTGTGAGCATGTTGCCACGATAAGTTTGAGTTTGTTGTTACAGAAAACTAAAATAAGAAAAATCTAGAAAGTAAGTAAAGTTCATAAATTCCGCTTTGTCTAACAAGGATGAAAGCACAACCTAAAGATTTTGGGTGGAATGTTACTGTAACTAATCACACAAACAACAGAGGATAAACTAACATAACACACATTTGCTGACTCGTTGCATTCACACCATGTGAGCCTCAACTGGAGGGGAATTCATCACATGCTCTCAGTTTAAAGAGAAGAATGTGACATTTATTTAGTCCTAAAGTGGTTTAGATAAAAAAAAACAAAAAAAAACAAAGAAAAGTTACATATGGTGTGAATGCTACTGAAAACAGGGCAGACTCACATTTCTCTACAGGTAAGGTAGAGGAAGGGGGGGGATGGGTGGAGGGATGGTTCTGGCCATCCAGTGTACACCTTTGGTCGTCCATTCTGCTGCTCTGGAAGCGAGAAAGGAGATCAAAAAAGCCGTCCTCGCCGATGGTGTCCTGTGGCCTCGACTGTGGCGTTAAAATCAAAACAAGCTGGCTTAGTTATACATATAAAAAATAAACATTCAAAGTTACAGAGGTTTTTGCTGTTACGGAGTAAAAGTGCACATTAGCTTGAAGAGAAGGTACCAAATTTAATGTGTTTTAAGTTCTGGGTTGTTCCTCACTCCAAGCAGCTTCTTTAGATTCAGACAACGTCTCATCTTTTCTTAAAACACTTATTTTTGTAGAAAGGATGCGTTTCTCACTCATTTCTTTAATTTCTGAAAAATATTTTAGACCAAATGAGACACTTTGGATGCATCATATAATGTGTCAGTAATTTATATGAGGGTTTTTTTTTTTTCCGGCTTTTAATCAAGTTTTTTGTTGCCAATTTTAAATGAAGTTAAAATAATCTACATGCTTTAAGTCTAAAAGTAATGGTAAACTTTGCAGAGTTTGTAAAAAGTACAGTTAGGATAAAGAGAAGCAAAGTTTTAATTTATAACTATTATTAGAATTTGTGCAACTTATTATAACTACTAATTCATTCACAGTGACATATGCACATATCGATTTCTAGGACTATTCATACAATTTGTAAGGATGCAAATTTATCTTAATTATCAGTCTTTACAGATAGAAAACAACTGGATCATGATGCCACAAGCCTTAAACTAATTTAATGTATCAAAAGTCATGTCTTGAACATGAGACAATGATCAATAATCCTAGACTGCCTCATTACATCCACCCATCTTCTAAATACTCAGAGAGGAAACATCTGTTTAGAGGTGAGGCTTTCCTGCAGGAGAGGCTGTGATGTAATGTGTCAGTAAATTAGAAGCACCTTTGGAGACGCCGATGAATCCCGCTCAGAGTCTGGGTGCTCGCTCTGGTTTTCCTCCTGATCTTTAGAAGACGACTTGTTGTTCTTCACCTTCTTGCTTTTCAGCCGGTGAAAAAGGAAAAGCTTGGTGGAGGCTTTTATTGTGTTTTTTGATGAACCAGCTAACAAGTGCTCCTCCCAGTCCTACACGAACACACAAGATTAGTACTTTACAAGGTGTACAGCAACAAATACCTCTGAAAGATTCATCCTGGCATTCTTGATGATGGGTTAAACAAACTGGGGTAAAAAAAAAAAAAAAAAAATCTGTTTTTAGACTGCCGTTTCTTTGAGACTTAAAACTTTCTCCTATGATGAATGTCACACAGACTTGATGTGGTGACGAATCTCCTCTTTCAGGTTTGTCAGGACGCCGGTTCTGTTCCAGGTTCTCTGCACTGCCTCTTCTCCTAAATGAAGACTTGCTCCCTGAAATAAACCCAAAACTTTAAACTCTGTCCAACACTTTAACAAGCGGCAGCAAACTTTTCGTAAAGCATTTGAACAAAATAAGAGCTTTATGAAGACATCATGTGACTCGTTCCTGGTGGACATCTTAATAGAAAGGCTTCAGAGGCATATACAAATGATCGCTCAAGCAGAATTCTCTCAGAAGCATTGAGTTACCTTGCAGGTTGAGGTAACCTTCTGTAACAGGGGAACAGTTTGTGTTGTTGAAGATGTGAGGCATGTTGGAGTTTGACTTCAGGTTTACAACCAGCCGTAGGTCTGACAAGTTCATCCTGGCTGTCGCCTCGCTGCCTTTATCTCCAGTCTGCGGCATTGACAAGGACAAAAAATGAAGTTGGCACTTACACTATACCCAAACCAATAAAGTAAATTATCCCAGATTCTGCAGTTCACTGTAGGATCACTAGATGGCGCTACAGCTCAATAAAAACTACAGAATGTCCTTCCAGACAGAAGGAATCCAGAAACAAGTCACCTCTTTGGCAATTTCCAGATGTTTTTCAGCAAAGTACATGGCCTGCTCATGATTCCCCAGGGCGGTGTGGGCATTTCCTAAGCTCCAGTACGCTCTTCCCTCACCCACTCTGCACAGAGACACGGCAAGAAACAGGCTGAGCAACTTTAACTGACATTATGCAAGAATTTGTATTTATCCAAACAGAGCACAACTGCAACAACTCCATCTAACATGAGCTCCTTTTACAGCTGGGACCCAAAAATGCTGTATTTATCACAATCGTACATCTGTGTGTATGTTCCACTGGGCGTACAAAATCCTCCATTATATTTAGTTTGAACGCAGACAAGTTCAACGATCTTTTTGAACGAGTTAAATAGAAATAATCTAGGAAAAGAACTTGAGAGTACCTGCTTCCTTTTTATACATTTCTAAAACATTTTCTCAAGTCTTTATAAAAAGAAAACGGCATCTCCATGTCATAAATTAAGAACCGTGCTAAACAAAAGCCTTTAAAAAGTGTAAACATATCTAAATGTTAAATGATATTTAACTGATATCACTGTTTGATAATGAGTGATTAAGATGTGTGCAAATTAAATAAACCCTTTAAATTCTCCTTTTTAAATGTATAATGGGGGTAGTAATAACACCACATAATTGGACCCATTTTAATTGAACTGCTCTAGGACCACCCACATTCAGAGCGTGCACACTTTTTACACTTCAAAGATAATTGCAGGGAAACTGGCAACAAACAGCCATGATGGTATACTGGTCATTGAGGTCCTGAGCGATGACCAGATGTTTGAGGTGATAATCTATGGCTCTCTCGTAGTCCTGCAGGAGTGTGTAGGTGTTGCCCAGACTGTAACAAGCTTGAGCCTCCACTGCTTTATCCTTCAAAAGTCGGGCCAGCTGCAGTGTCCTCCTGAGAGGAAGAGAGAAAAGGGAGGAGGAGGGTCAGACAGTGGTCATGGTGGGTGCAAGAAAACTATACTTAACAGTCTTTTTATTTTCAGTATATGTTGGTATCAGAGAATAAAAAAAGAGAACTTAAAAACTTGTGTATGGTGTTATTCTAATGTTATCTTAGCCATTTTGATGACTGTATAATGCTTACAAGTTTTAAAAAGTAGCACTTTTAGTAAAAAAAAAAAAAAAAAAAATCCTCTAAGTGCAACAAAGCTATTTTCAAGTGCAACTTTTTGTGTTTCATGTTGTAATTGATTGTATGTTCAGGTGTTTTCACTTGTGTTGCTGCAGTCAGAGCACAGTGGTTTTGTGTCCTCTTCTATACACGGCTTATCATGAGGTGAAAACACTGAGCCTCATATTTACTCACTTGTAGTGACCAGCTGCCACCTCAAACTGGCCAAGGAATATTTGTGCATTGCCAAGATTGCAGTGAGCCCTCCGCTCTGCAGACTTATCTCCAAACTCTTTTGCAACAAGAAGACGCTGCACAACAAGAAAAACAAACAAACAAAAAAAACAGCAGGATGCAAATTATTGTTAGTGAGTCCACCATTAACCAAACATTCTCAGTTAATGAAGGCAGAACTTGACTCTTTATGGTCATTCAATGAAAATTAAAATCTGGAAATGAAAATTAATTAACCATTTGCCCAAGTCACAGTGGTCTGCAACCTTTATCAAAAGAGCCATTTCTGCCTTTGTTCACTAAATTAAACGTGTCTGGAGCCACAATACCTGCTACAACTTTAATTCTCAACTGGTGGCCCACAGACCACTTTGTTGGAGGGTGCTTTTATGGCCAGTAGGGGTGACATTGTAAAGCTGAAAATATCTAATGATTTTAACATTAGTTGATATTTTCACATTTTAAGACAAAATAAAAGACAAAATTATTGTAAAGAAGGAAAAATACAAACCGGATTCCGAAAAAGTTGGGACACTAAACAAATTGTGAATAAAAATTGAATGCAATGATGTGGTGATGGTAAATGTCAATATTTTATTCGTAATATAACATAGATTACAGATCAAAAGTTTAATCTGAATAAATGTAACATTTTAAAGGAAAAATATGTTGATTCAAAATTTCACAGTGTCAACAAATCCCAAAAAAGTTGGGACAAGTAGCAATAAGTGGCTGGCAAAAGGAAATTATGCATATAACGAACAGCTGGAAGACCAATTAACACTAATTAGGTCAAGTGACAACATGATTGGGTATAAAAAGAGCTTCTCACAGTGTCGGTGTCTCTCAGAAGCCAAGATGGTAAGAGGATCACCAATTCCACCATTGTTGCACAGAAAGATAGTGCAGCAATACCAGAATGGTGTTACCCAGCGTAAAATAGCAAAGACTTTTAAGTTATCATCATCAACCATGCATAACATCATCAAAAGATTCAGAGATTCTGGAACAATCGCTGTGCGTAAGGGTCAAGGCCGTAAAACTCTACTGGATGCTCGTGATCTCCGGGCCCTTAAACGTCACTGCACCTCAAACAGGAATGCCACTGTCAAGGAAATAACAGAATGGGCTCAGGAATACTTCCAGAAAGCATTGTCAGTGAACACAATCCACCGTGTCATCAGCCGTTGCCAGCTGAAACTCTACAGCGCAAAGAGGAAGCCATTTCTAAGCAAGCTCCACAAGCTCAGATGTTTGCACTGGGCCAGGGGTCATTTAAAATGGAGTGTGGCAAAATGGAAGATTGTTCTGTGGTCAGGTGAGTCACGATTTGAAGTTCTTTATGGAACACTGGGACGCCATGTCATCCGGACCAGAGAGGACAAGGATAGCCCAAGTTGTTATCAACGCTCCGTTCAGAAGCCTGCATCACTGATGGTATGGGGTTGCATGAGCGCTTGTGGCATGGGCAGCTTGCATGTCTGGAAAGGCACCATTAATGCAGAGAACTATGTTCAGGTTCTAGAACAACATATGCTCCCATCTAGACGTCATCTCTTTCAGGGAAGACCCTGCATTTTTCAACACGATAATGCCAGACCACATTCTGCAGAAATCACAACATCATGGCTACGTAGGAGAAGGATCCGGGTACTGAAATGGCCAGCCTGCAGTCCAGATCTTTCACCTATAGAGAACATTTGGCGCATCATAAAGAGGAAGGTGCGACAAAGAAGGCCCAAGACGATTGAACAGTTAGAGGCCTGTATTAGACATGAATGGGAGAGCATTCCCATTTCTAAACTTGAGAAACTGGTCTTCTCTGTCCCCAGACGTCTGTTGAGTGTTGTAAGAAGAAGGGGGGATGCCACACAGTGGTAAAAATGGACTTGTCCCAACTTTTTTGGGATTTGTTGATGCCATGAAATTTGGAAACAACAGATTTTTCCCTTAAAATGATACATTGTCTCAGTTTAAACTTTTGATCTGTGATTTGTGTTCTATTCTGAATAAAATATTAGATGTTGGCACCTCCACATCATTGCATTCAGTTTTTATTCACAATTTGTTTAGTGTCCCAACTTTTTTGGAATCCGGTTTGTAATATGTTCTTGTCCAATTAAAAAAAATAAATAAATAAAACAATGAACTATGCAGGTCTATGTACTTTTTTTTTTTTTTTATTGTGGAAAATTTAAGCATCCTACTTCAAAGAAATAAGGCATAAAGTGAGAGTAAGTGTTTTACTTCTTCTATTAGTTCTAGTATTGACAAATTTTCAAAGGAAATGACAGAAAAACAGCTAAAACTAGCCCTTGTTGCCATTATAAGAACCAATAAAGTTCAGTTTAAAGTTATTTTTGGTCAAAGCTTGAAAGAGCCATGCAGAGAGACTAAAGAGCTGCATGTGGCTCCAGAGCTGCAGGTTGCAGTCCCCTGGCCCAGGATGAAACAAGGTGAAAAATATGTGTACTTTACCATATTAAAAAGTTTAAAACTTACCTTTTCATGTGCTGCTACTGCACTTTCAAAGTCACCCAAGAGATAGAAGGTGTTACCAAGATTCCCATAGGTACGACCCTGAGCTGCATGGTCACCAAACTCCTTCACCATACAAAGGTTTGCTCTTTGTCAAACAAACAGTCAAAAAAAAAAAAAAATACAAACCTCTTGTCACTGATATGTCATGGACTGTATAACTTTTATTCCAACTTGCTGTTCTACATGAAATATACAGAGATGAGATGAGCGCCACTGCTGTTGTGTTTAACCAGAACCAAGTCTGTGTTCAAAAGTACAAACACTATGAGGGACATCGTGTTGGGTTTATTTGGTTCAGAGTAAAGGTTGCAAAGTGAGGGGGTCTTATTGCTTAACAACTAATAAGCAAGACTTCCTAATCAATTTTGTGTAAATAATCCTAATTATTGACAGAGTATTCTAAAGTTAAGTAGTGTGAACGTTTACTGACCTGTTGTAGTGTTTGTTTAATATTTTTTAAATTAAAATTACAATAAAACTAGTTAGCTCGACTCACCCACTTGGCAGCCCTATGCATTCTTGCTACCTTTTTGCTTTGCACAGCTTCCCACCCATATATTCAAGTTGCTTATTTTCAGGACTGTAGCTTTAGGACGGACCCAGAACATGTGGAACGTTATAAAATGTAGCTCCTCTTGCTTAAGTTGGTGGTGCTAGTTTATATAATTTGCCAAGCACAAAAAAAGACAATCAATTTAAATAGTGAGCTCCATTATTTGTGGTAGAGTGAAACTAAGCATTAAAAATCCTGATTAGTCCAATGCAAAACTGATGTGTTCCTCATCCATCCTTATTTTTTGGGCTTCAGTCTCTGTAATCTGTTGCCATCTTCCTCCTGCAGTCTACAGTCAGCTGTTAACTATTTAACATTTTTCCTATGAATAACGTCATTTCCCAAGGCTAGGTGTGGTTAGAGTTTTAAACAGCTGTATGCAAACCCATTTGTGTTGTTTCAATACTCGCAATCCTTAAAAATGTGTGGGGTGAGAGCAACATAAGACTTATTTCAATGAATTACTATGAATTCTACATCCATGTTAGAGAACTTGAGAAAGAAAATAACTTGAAATGTATTTATTTAGTAAATACTACCGGTATACATTACACATCTGTCACCCTGTTTTATTACACCACCAGTCCCTCTGTATAACCCCACGTTTTTCAGGGCAAAATAAAACAGCCCGTGCAGATTTAAACAAGAACACCAACTCACTCGTAGTACTGTGCAGCTTTTCTTAGGGCAGTCCTAGCCTCCTCTGGAAACTCTCCTGGCTCACCTCCACTCCAGCAGATGCTCTTGCCCTTGGCATGGTAAACGTTTCCGAAATTATACAGTGCTCGAGCCTGCCCAACCTACAACACGCACAGCAGAAACCAGAGTGACTGTGGCTGTAATTATATACTTAAAATACACTGACATCTTGTTTGCATGCTGGCTGGCAACTAATGCATTTGCAAAAATGTTAAATGGCTGCACAGCATGTAATATAGTACAGCTGAAAACTAATCAATCCATTTGTTCTAATCAAATGGCCTTTTAGTAATCAAACCATAACTGAACTTTCACTGGCAAATTGCCAAAGTGTAAATCAACTTGTTTTATTTTTCCTTTTGTTTTACTGGTAGCCAAATAACTCTTGCTTTAAAACAAAAGAAAAAAAACAAGAGTACCGCATTTGGTACATTGTATGCCTGTCGACAAACCACTATACAGCAATCTATAGCAATGGCCTCAACATGAAAAGACCTGTATAACATTTGACCTTGATTTGTGACCTTGACTTTGGAGCTAAGGTGATGAAAAGTATATTGACGCTCCATCTTGTGATGATGCATATGTATATGAAGTTGCATTAAATTATCTTGAGAGGATCAGAAGTTATGGATGGGGACAGGGAACGTTTACAAATGGACATATGGACGGATACTATACCACAATGGATGGGCATATAATAAAAACACTCACCTTATCATACATGGCTCTTGTGATATCCAAATGTCTTTGACAGCAAACCACCGCTTCGTCATATCGTCCCAAAAGCTTTAATGTGTTCCCAAGGTTGCCACTGGCTTTAGCTTCACCAAGTTCATCGCCAATTGTTCTGGAATTAAAAAATAATAAAATAAAAACACATACATTAGGAGGCAAAGTGTACAAGTATGAAAACATGAAAACACAATGGCCAAGAAAATAAATTAAATAAAAGAATGAATTTTCCATCAATTTGTTCAAAACATATTTGTTGTAAAAACTATATTTTTGTACACAATAGCTACCTCAAGTCAAGAATCACAAGAAAGACCAATAATCTGTCCACTTGTGAAAACTTTTACCTGGTAAGTGTGAGGTCATGTCGATGGTACTCTAAGGCTTTATTATACTCTTGAAGGTGAAAGTAGGCATTTCCTAGTTGGCTGTAGATGGCACTAAGGATTTGAAGGTCTTCTGTTCCAACTTGTATGGCAGACTCAAAGAAGGACACACCTGAACGATAGTCCCCCGTCTTACAGAGTCGTTCACCTTCAAGGGCCAGGTCCAAGCATGATGCCTCCATCCTGCAAATACATGAGATCTTAACTATAGAATGCAAGATCACTCCTAGTTTTACTCACTATAGATTTGATCAGTAGGGCTGTAGGGTAGCATCTCCCAGGCTGAAACTGTTCGTAAACAGCATTTGTAAAAAAAAGTCTCCAAAATGTCCAGAGACGTTTGTGGGAGCTTTCAATTACCTTGTGTGAGTTGCAGAGGCTTTTAGCCTTGTTGCAGCTAGATCTGTATTTTGACACATGCAAGGGAGCTATTCTTATGTCAGGAATATCTAAAGCTACAGGCCCAAATATCTGGGTTAGCAAACAATGTCAATATTAATGATAAAAAACTGGTCCAATCTGTTAATTTCTAAAGTGTGTTCTAGTAGATTAAGGCTGACATGGTAGGTACAACGTGGATGATGTTGGTAATGAAATAATGTGAACACCCATAATTACAAATTTTAACAGCTTATTTAAGAAGGTGTCAGCAAGTGTAAAGCAGGCACCTCTTTTACCTGTATTTTATTAAGATGAAAGATTTGTCAATTAATGGGTTGCATGGTGGTCTGTTTTGATGCTTCACAAAGATATTTTTTCACACTAAACACTCTAAATGCAAAGACAGCAACAGTAAATGACAAGGGAAAAAAAAAAAAGTTAAACTCTTTTGAAAGCCAACTCAAGAGCTATAAAATCCAAAATAGGATAAAGCATTTCCTGCCTGTCATGACCACCAAGCACTAAAAATGCCACACTTACTCCGGAATGAAAATATGTACCTTACAATTTACCATAAACACAAAATAACCTCAGATGCGTCTGTGGTCAGGTCTACTATTTTAGAACCGCCTTTGTCTCTTGTGAGTGTCAAACCAATATCTTAAAAGCTTGAAACCACCATGACATGGAATCATACCCATAACACAGAAAGCAATGGTTGCAGCCATTAGGGCTTTTCTGCATGCAACCAAGAGAAAATGACCCTTAAAAGCCACTACAGACCTTCCTGATGATTAAACAAGCATCAAACACATTTTATTACATCTAAATGCTTATTTAGTCTCATATGAATGTTTGGTCATCTCCTCCTACATGTCTCTGCGTGAGTGCAGCTACGGAGTGCGCTCTCAGGACATTATTACCTGCAGTGTTCCCTCAATGAGGACTGAACTAGGCAAAAGGGCCTTCTCCTATTCTGCTCCTGTTTCCTGGAATATCTTACAAAAAGATTTGAAGCTCTCGACCTTGACCTCTCTAAGTGGCTTTAAGAATCTGTTGGACACCTGGCAGGGTCCAATGCTGACATGTTCCTGTTAGTTTTCTACATTTGTCTTGGAATCTAGCTGTTTTTTGTTTTGTTACCTTTTCCTTTTAGCCATCCTATTTGTTAAAAAAAAAAAAAAAAAACTGTAGTATGCTTTTTTAGAACTGTTTATTGTTGTTGCTGTTGTCCATTGTTGTCATATTTCTTTGTTGAAATCAGGTCTCTCTTGTAAATGAGTCCTCGAGGCTCAATGGGATTTACCTGTATAAATAAAGGTTGATTGATTGGTCTCATTTAGATGAAACAAATCAAAGCAGGGAGCTTATGTTGATTGACATCTCCCACCATAAATGAATTATGTGCAGATTCTTAGATGCTGGTGTACTTGGCATTGTTGTGTTTTAAAAACTAGACATGAATGAATCTATCTGCTGTATGCAAGTAAAATTATCCAGTTGTGGTTTAGAAACTTACAGCCATCTTCACAAAGTTATTTACCGGTACTTGTGTTAAAATAAAACCAGAGTGTGTGTGTTTGTTTAATTCTGAAAGCAAAAGATCTGCAATGATGCAATTTGTACACATTTCAATGGAGTGTTGTGCATGTGCACGTACTCCAAAATATGTAGCATAATAATTGTCATAACAGTGAAAACATTTTTTAACCAGATTAACAGAGAGAAGGTATGGAACACCAAAATGCTCAAAATTAAATAAATAAATAAAGCATTATGAAATAAGTATCTAAGCTCATTATTATGAAAAAAAAAACAAAAAACATTTTTATTCTATTCCATAATTGTGTTTTTCATAATGGCTCATTTATTTCACAAGGTCACTTTTCAGCAGAATGACTTCAGCTGTCAATCAACGTCAGTGGGTTGGACCTTCACGCCCACTGGCTGATCCTTCACATCCATTAGTTTTCCTGAGTACCTGCTCACTGGTACAGCTAGCATAGCAGCTAGCAGCGACTTGCTAGGTCAACAGTCATGAATGATGGCAGAGATGCATGAACTTTGTTCAGCTCTGGTAACTTTAGCAGATCAAATTGAGAGGACTGATACAGGCGCCATGACAAAAAGTGATGGACTGCTATCGATCGGCGCCATGGGAGCACGCACAGGAGGACTCGCTGTTTTAGTTCTTTGAATACAAGATCAACACTAGCTGTACCAGTGAGCAGGTATTCAGGAAAACTAATGGAAGTGAAGGATCAGCCAGTGGGCGTGAAGGTCCAACCCACTGACGCTGATTGACAGCTGAAGTCATTCTGCTTAAAAGTGGCATCATGAAATAAATAAGCCATTATGAAAAACAAAATTATGAAATACATTTTTTTGTTTTTCATAATGAGCATTTTAGTGTTCCATAAGAAGGGGGAAGTTAAACTGACGAAGAACAAATTGTAACTACAAAGCATTGAATCAGATCAACTGTTTTCTGATTGTAGATAACAGATGAACACGTGGAGCCCTGCGAGGAAGCCAGTTTGGCTTGTTTTTGCATGAAAGCATCTAGTCCTTGAGTCTTCAAGTATAGAGCTTGGGCTTGTCCATCTCACACATGCAGCTTTGATGTGCATTATTTGCCTAATCACTGCAGGTCTTTTGGACTGCCGGTACATAGAAAACACTAACAAACATTCAGTAGACAGTATGTCCTTATAAAAGTCTTGGACACAAAAAAAAAGTATGTCAATTTTAGACTTAAGTTAGCAAAAAAAAATAATAAAAAAGCTCTGCGACCCACTTCACAGATGTGCTTTTAGAGAGAAGGGTTGTGCCAAAACCTAAAAAAAACCCTAATAAAACCCAAACATCTGAGTCAGCAGAACTGCACTGCCAATCAGCACTCGAGCCCAAAATATGAGTTCCTCAATGAATTTCACAATCCACTCTCTCTTTCTGCACTTTGGATCTAACCAGATTTGCTACAAGCCTAGCTGAAACCAAGCATGTTTGAATCTGTTGCAAGTGATTACATAAGCTCTGTCCTTGCGGGTCAGACCAACTGAAATTCTGTCTTCACTTTAATCTCAACCACTCACCAGTGAAATGTTGTGGCTATATCCACAGACAGACATGTAAACACCTGCCAGAATACTTTAAAACTGATGTGTCCAGAGCTACAATTTTGCCTCAATGACACACACACAAATACGCAAACACACAAGCATAAAAAATAAAAAAAATCCTAAAAAGGTAAAAACAATCCCAGCTGTGGCTGCATGATGCCAGCTAATACGTGAGTAAATCCATGGGATTACTTCATAACACTGTAAAACAAATCCAGTCATGCATGGCTGCAGAGGATTCACTCTTCAGCAATGCAAGCAAGGAAAATCTGAATTTACTTAATGAGTTATAGTGTGAAAAAGTTAAAAAGCAATTCCCACACACTGACTGATCTATTGTTACTGACTCATCCTAAATAAACTATAAAAGTCAAGACTAAAATGGCTTTTTCTTAAAAAAAAAAAAAATAAATAAACTAAAACTTTAGCTTTGAAATACTGCTTTAAGACTCTTAAGCATATTTCCCAGCATCAGGTAGTTACCAACTAAAGTTTGCCTTTTAAATATGACTTCTGAGCTCTTAAGTAAGACTTTACTGAGAACTACAACTTCATGCATTTTCTCTCTGCATGTGTCCGGCTCCTCCAGTAAACTCTGCTAATGCTTAAGGAAATGATTGGGTAAGGTTAGGGTTAAGCTCTGCCACCTCCAGCAGTTAAGGACAAGATGAACAGAAGTCCACTTCAGAAATCACAGCTTCAGTCTATGACTATGTATAAATTAATACTATAAAAATGCTAATATTGAATTTATTATAAAATGCATAAAGTTTACAACTGAAAAGCTTATAATTCTGTATGCACGTAGTTTGCCTGAACACACCCTGGCATCAGAGTGGAAGTATTTAATTTCAGTTGAACAGCAAACATATTTTTCCTGAAACAGACACTGAATAAGAAGGTTCCAGAGAAAAACATTCTTTTAGCTCTGCATATTTCTGAATGTTGATGTACTGCAGAGGCTTTTTTTTTTTTTCCCCTTCTTCTTTTTTCTCTTCTTTGAATAAGTTTAAGACAAAAGCATACAGACCGAATGACGTATTGGTTTAAATCTTTGGACATACCCTTTAAAAAAATGTTTTATTTTACAAACATGCTTTCTGGCATCACAAGAAAATCCATTACTCGCTCACAGTGAAGTCACAATTAAACACAAGCTCACGTACCTGTTGCCTTTCCCCATTCTGATGCACTTAATGAAGGCTGACACAACGGACATTTCAAGCTTCTCACCCTCTGGAGTAAATGTTGCTTTTTCTGCACAACATTTTCTTCCTTCATGTACATGCACATAACGCATTCAACTACTGACTGGTAAATACAAAAAGAAAAAAAAAATCCCTTTGAACCTGCTGGTTTCTTTGAGAGAACCTTGCTAAGTGGTTGTCACAACAAAACAAAAGACTTAATCCTCTCAGCATTCGAACTGACCTTAATGGCCAAGTGGCGGTCAGGGAGACCTCTAGCTGAGGTGAATACGGATTAACACCAGATTGTTACGGAGTAGAAAGTACTTAAAGAGCAATGTGCCAGGTTGCCATGTTTAGCGGATTGATGGGTTTCTCTGACAAGAACCCCACTGGTAACCTTATCGATAAGTCACCTGATGCCGTGTGTCAGATCCAATTAGTCTAGGATTCAATGGCAATTATAGCCTTGTTGTGCGGCTCCAGTAAACCT